GCGGCCCACCGGCCCACCCAGCCAGGACCTGACCACAGCACAGGAGCTGGCACTTGATTTGAATAAAGAGAGGCCAGTGATGGAGGGGATCCAGGGAGGGACGGTGACAGACTCAGTCCCTGCAACAGAAACTGGCTGCTTCATACAAGGTACACATTGCAGTACTACTGCACATGGAACACAATCAAAAATATTATACTGTCTGACTTTGGATTTCCTTGCAGTGTCTGGGGACACACTTCTACTTCTGGAGCCACCAGAAGATGATCTGGCTCGTACTGTACATTTTATTGAAATGACAGGCTTGGCATGTCCTGTCAAAATTCTTAATACATGTTGTCTTGGTACATGTATGTATATGGCAGGGGGAAGGCACATCTGCAGCTGTAGAATGCACATCTGCAGATGAGGAGACAGTGCCACTGGACTCCAGAAGGCTTGAGGTATCATGTCAATTTTGTGGAAATATCCTGCTTATTTAGTCCATAATGGACATGAAGTCAGTGATGTGGTGCTAATAGAAGATGTTATGTGTGTAACAGGACCCAGACACTGCACAGCCTCAGAAGCAGCCTGGTAACATTGTAAGTATTGGCTAAAGTAAATCTACATTATGCACAGATCCTGCTGTGCAAACTTACATTTCTTTTACAGAATTCACAAACTGTCAGAGCTCTATATGGAAAACATCCTGAGAGACAGATAGAGCTGGCAGAGGTAAAAATTCAAGTGGAGAAAAGAAAGCTGCAAGAAATTGAGCTTGATCTTGAAATTAAAAGAAGGACCCTTGTGAAACTGGACCTAGAAATCCAGAAATTAGAAAGTGATGTGAGTATTTCAGTGCACACTGTAACCATATCTGTAATACAGTGTATTAATAGTTGTTACCTTTGCTTTCTATTTCAGGTTCCAAGCAGACTCCCTTTTTCATGAATGTGCGGTATACCATTGATTTGGTGAAGTGGAATTTAAAAGATAACCACACACTGTGTGCTACCAATGCCAGATAAAATGCACATACACAACAAAAAGTAACATACAAGATCCTTTATTGAAGAGAGGCTAAATTTGTTGATTTAACCTAAGTGGAAAAGTGATGCAACATATTTAGAAAAAACATGGAAATGATGTACAACACATGAATTTGTCACAGGATTGACAGTAAAACTACCAGATGAATCACTCGGATTAATCTTAGCCTGGTTGTTAGCCTGGTCTGGAGCAGGCTAGCTGCAGAGAATAAATCGCCATAGTAACTTGACTGGGTTAAATCTGACCTGCTTTCATGCAACTGACTTGAGGCTAAATTCAGCCAGGATAACCAACATATCCCGGCTTAATCCCTTAGCTTGGTTTTGTGCAATACCCCTCAGGTCAGGCTGAGCATCAAACGAAAG